AATGTACTTTTACCCACTCCTTTAGAAAGGGAAGCTTTGCCAGGTCACGGTGCCCTGCTATATGCTGAGGGGAGCAGTTTCTTTGTTTTGTTTTGTTCTTTTAAAAAATTCCAGCCAAAACCAAAGATTTCCTAATGATTGTATAAACTCAAAACAAACAAACCAAAGACAAAGGGCATCTTCAGCACCAGTCAAATCCAGGAAGCCATCTTTCCTGGGCGTAGAAGAGATGAATCCCAAAGTGGTTTTTGCCTGCTAGTCCAAGATGCAGTGGATGGCTTGATCTAAGGTAATGTGGGTTTGGTCAGCAAGGTAACTTTTCTCCCACTCTGTTTGGGATGCAAAGTACTCTTACAAGATTACAAATCCAAGAGGCATAGAGAAAAGCTCAAGAGAAATGTGGTGGAGCTTTATATATTGGTTGTGAAGCTGAAGACCTTGGTGCATGATTGGCTGCTCTGATGGGTACTTTTAACCCTTTGTGAGCTGGGTGATAAATTGATTAATACATGCTAGGGTGCGCTTCTGAGCTTCGCCCCTGCCACTGCTTGGAAGAGGCAATCCTATTGTGAGAAATATCTGAATTTCGTTTTTCTTATTTTCCGCTTTTTCCTTTTTGTTACTTCTTCATTAATTTTGCAGCACCACTGTGCAACTATGCATTGTATTTCTCAACATTTTTGCTAGGTAGATGCCTATGACCTTTTAAACTTTGGGGGAGGGGGGTTGCCAACGAAGGAACTTTTTACACAAATCTTTTAAATCTCAGTTGAGTAGGGGTGTTTGGTTCTAGGGTCATACAAGCTCTATCCCAAAGCAAAATCCAAATGTTAATAATATTAGCCTGATGCAGATACCAAAGATAATTTCTTTCCTGCAGAACCTTAGACTTGTGTATTAAGTACAATTACCCAGCACTTGCATTAGTCTAACCTCAGTAATTCCAAAGCTTAGATGTATATTTTGGTATATTTCTGGGATATTAAAAATGTGTTTAAATTCTTGTTTGTTTCTGTGTAATGCTCTTAAAAGTCATAGCATGGAGATAATTGATTGTCTTATTCTTAGTAGTTTGAAATAATAGTATTTTTGTATGTTTTGGGTGTGTCTATGTACGTATTAACACAATAGTTTTCACTGCCTAGGTGTTCATAATTGAAGAAAAATGTACATAATCTGTAATTTCCATCAGATTGTCAATTTAGATTGCATTTTCTCTTATTGCCATTCTGAACAGACAGCTTCTTTTTTAAAGAGACAGCATGGTTATATGGGTGAAATTGAACCTATGCCTTTCTCGGAAGGCATCGTCCATTCATATCCAAAGGTGAGATCAGAAGCCAGGTAAAGCCGTTTACTAAAGAGTAATGCATTGTTCTGATGTCATAACTTCTTTCTGTTTGTTATAAGAGAATTATGTTGCCGTAAGACAATGGAAACATTGATTAGAAAAATGTTTATTTCCCTTTCTCTTGCAAAACCTAATATGTAACCTTTGTGGACTGCACAGCTTCATTTACACCGTTGAACAGATTTTTTTCCATTGGTTGTTCTTTTCATGATCATTTGTATAATTTAATTTGGAATGTATGTCAACATAAAAGAGTGGTTTACATATCCTACAACATCCATTCTTGTTCATGCTCAGTCTGAGACCTGTATCCTGAGGAAGATTAAAAGAATGCTGTCTCTTTAAAGATACCTTCTGTTTTTCCCCTAGTGGCTGCCTGCAGGCGGCTGTGGGCATTGAGAAACTGTAGATTACAGTGAATCAGGATGAAAATTGTAGGTTTTGTGTAGATGCATTTGTCTGCTGTAATTTTTATATATATGAGACTTACTGTAACTGTACAGTTCATTTCTGTTGTAAACTTCATTAAACCATTTTTCCAAGTGTTTTAACATCCATTGGTGTTTGTTATTTTTAAAAAATACTAGAGACAAAATGAAATGCCAACATCTAGGTTTTCTACTATCTTAAACTGATCTTTCTTTCTGCCAACTGTCATTTGTTTTCTCAGTGAAAAGCAAAAACAGGTAGGCTGTTGTCTTGTCTGCGTTATAGTCTAAAATCATATACAGTATTCCTGATAATTCGATTATGTTTTACAGTGGTTTTCCACTCTCAACTGAATGTATACAACTCATTTTTTTCACTATTCAAAGGAGTCTTTTTCAACCTGATACCTTCTAAATATACTGGACTACAACTTCTGTCTTTCCTAGCCTTTAAGAACAGCTAATCCATCCTCAAAGGATATCAAGGCAGAGTAAGCTACTGATAAGTAAGAGGATGAAGATATATTTTGTGTCTATGTACCCATATATGCATTTGTGCATAATAGAAAAAAAGAGCTTAGAGGCAGTTTTAAAGTTTGTATTGTGTATTAATTCAGATGTGCTCATATTGTGCAATCATAATAGCTAATTTAATCTTTAATATTATCTTTTAACTTTTTTAAATTATTGCCTTTTAGTTTTTTAAACACTGGACTTCAAGCTGACAAATATTTTTTTTAAGATTATTTCAAATATATATGATTTGATTTCCTTATAGAGAAGTATTTGTGATATATGCTTTTTAAATGTTATTAAATACATTAGACTATCTGGTACAGAATTTCTGTAGCATTAGATGGACTGAATAAACACCAACTCCTAGCCTATACAAGAGATACTAACGTAGTATTTCCAAACTTTTTGAACTTAAGGAATGTCCTCTAAACGTCCAGTACCACAGTTCAGAATTTGCCATATCCTGGAGTCTTTTGAACTTGATAATATACATAAACATTGGAAAAGTAAAATATAAAAACTGCTGTGGTCAACTGCCAACTCCCAATTCTTTGACTAGACATCTCAGTTCCATCTAATAGTGGGTGGGTTACATGGCAGTTCAGAGTATGGTTACGGGAAGTATTATCAAATATGGGTTCTTTGTTTACTTTCAGTTAGGCTTTGCTGGACTTATTGCCCTTTTACCAAGCATCTTTTTAAAGTTTTGTTGTATTTTCTGTACATGATGCAGAGACAAATACAATCTTGACTCAAATCCTAGGGGGGGGATGAGGCAAGTAAACACAAAGAAGATACTCCAGGAATTTGAATGTTTGCAGTGGATTCCCAGTCCTAATTGTCCCTAATTTTACTCAAACTCATTTCTCTTATTTATGTGTACCCCAGTTTTATTTTTTATTTTACTATACTATTGTAATGTCATTCTGGTCTGTGTTTTTAATAAAAACGTTGCTTTATTTGGGAATTATATTAGACATGATATAACTTCTGTGCAAGCATTCCTGTTTTAAAACTGGTGGCCCGCTGTGGTTCTGAGGTGTTAATGATCTCGTCTTTTGTGTTCCCTAAAGTTCCTATTCCATTTTACTTACTTAATCATTCAAAAATTATGTTAATTTTTTTAAAACACAGGCATGCTGCATAATATCAGTCTGCAGCATGTTTATTTTCTAGAATTACTTTAACCCTACATGCATTCTATAAATTTTTAAAAATAGAATTAATGGTCAGCTACTGCATACCAGTGTTTTATTTGGAAATATACTCAACTGCCCAGAATAAAAAAGTAAGTACAGGTAATTGTTGTGTCTCACCTTTCTTCTTTCTCAAAAAATGAAAGAGTACAAACTCACACAAACACAGGCAGGCAAGCTGACTCGGACTTCACAGAGTTAATTCTTTGGAACTGATAATGTCCTTGGCATTCCAACATGCTCTGCCTGCCAAGTCCGAATTGATAATAAGTAAAAAGCTACTCACAGATAATTACAAGGCAGACCACAAGAATCATTCACAACGAGAAACCTGAAGTAAGATTAAACTTTGTCCCGTACAAAGTTCTAGCCGACCACACACCCACCTTTATCCCCTGTGGGATGTGCCTCAATGACTCAGCTCACTCTCTGACCCTCCCACGCCTCCTACGTTGCTGCTCACGTTTCTCCCTACGACGCTGCCTAGGATCAAGCCAACATTCTTCCTCTTGACTTCCTGTCAGGGGCTGCTCCGATATGCCTTCTCCTGATTAATCTCAGGCTTTTCCTCTCGGTTGTCTGATGAAACCTGAGGCATTATCAGGGAGGAAGGCATTACCAGAGAGGAAGGTCCTGGGGAGGAAGGCATTCCCAGTTCCTCCTCCTCATCTTCCAAGTCCTCTTCCTCTAACAGCACAGGCTCGGGAATCGGAGCCACAACAGGTAATGTATAGTATTCTACAGAAGGGAGAAAGAAAAATTACAGGTACAGGAGATTGTTGTAGGCTTGATCAATAGTTAGCTTTTCCTAGATCTTTCCTGTCATCTAGTAATCTGCTTTTTGCAGTCTAAATCTGGTAGCCCTAGCATTGTTGCTAAGTTGCTAGGGATGCCATTTTGTTAGGAATATCATATACTAGTTATTGGTCATCCTATATATTGCAGCTGATCAACCACTAAATGGCAGGAAGAGGAGGAGTTTTTTTGTATCTGCTGTTTCCAATGATCCATATTTTGCAGTTCAGATACATTATACTGTAAAGGGAAAAGCCTATCAGCACCCATTTTGTCATGGGATCCAAGATATAATATTCACATTCAAATTGTACCCCAAGGAAAGTGTTTGGCTGGAGATGATGAAAGGGTACAGTCTCCCATACAAATTCCCAGTTTTCCTTCCTTGCAGACCTTTACATTTTTATTAGACTTCTTAAAATCTGATCAGTATTTCTCAAAAGAAAGCTCGTTGATGGATTCTGGTCAAGTTTTTTGTATTTCCTCTAGTTAATATGGGTTGAAGTATGAGCTATAGCCACTAGGAATAATGTACGTAATGAAGCAACAGACAATATACTTAACCATTATTTTAATCATGCAAAAGTAGGCATAAGCTGCACTGGTCCACTTTTTCATAGCACAATTATTTTTATAATTTCTATTCAAAAGTAAGACTTGTTCTTCAACAGAAGTAATTCTAAACCAAAACTAGTTTTGGTTGCTTTATGTCCAGTTTTTTGTTTTGTTTTGTTTGTATTTTGCTTGCAAACATCATCCAAACCTAATAGTAAAGGCTTTATTTTATGCTAAATAAAATTTCATTTTATGGGAAATGATCCAAGCTCATGAACAGAACTTTTAGTTTTCTCATACACTGTAATTCAAAGTACCATCTGAACACATTTCTTTCTTTTTTATTCTAATCTTCGGTATAAAAGATATTTACCTTCAGTTAAGTCCTGAACTATTTAATGATTTGAGAGTTATCAATTTAAAACATGATAATTATTGTTATTCTTTACCACCAGCCTTGCTGATATGACTGATAGATTGTACAGTAATCCAAATTCCTGGAGAGTGATGAAAGGTTCCAGAATATATTCTCTTTCTCCCTCCCTCTTCCCCCCCTCCTCCCCCCACAAAGTTTCCCAGCTATCTTCAATTAAAAATACCATAAAAACATCTATGGGGAAAGAAAATATGTTATTTTTCCCTTAAGGAAGAAAAGTATTTTTGTTATTTAACTATCCAGTGAAATAGCAGTCACAACTTCTGCCCCTAAATATGAGCAACTATACATTAAGCAGAATCTTTAAACTTATGTACATTTTTAAAGGATGTTATTTGGAAATGAAACATGGGTTTTGCTGACTGTACAATAGCATTCTTCAAACAAGGCAATGGCTTTGCTGAAATGAACTGTCCTCTTTAATTGCTACCATTCCACCATAAGGAATGTCCTTTTTTTCTCTTCCTTTTTAGATTCAGTTGTAACTAACGAGGAGAATGCATCTGTTTCATGTGAAGGACATTGTATGTGTCCTTTGTTGCTTGGCTGAGCCCCTGATAAAGAGAAAAGATATGATTAGAAAACAAATAATTAGACTATTAACCATAGATTCAGATTCAGTGTTCCCTGTAGCGAGAATATTAAAGCTGGGGTCTGATAGCAACATTTGTAAGAGAAGAATTCAACTACTTCCTAACCGTGTTGCCTTGTCCAACTTTCTTGCAAGCATAGGCTGGCAATAGGATCAAAAGTACTTAGAGAACGAAGGGGAGATGAGAACAGTGGATAAATTGCTTTTAGACAGATCTCCTCAGTGAATTAAGAATTAAAGAAATTACAGGGAGGGGTTCTGTTGTTATCTTACCTGATAAAGAATATCATTGCCTTTGCCACCAAATCTCTAGAAAAAGAAAAGGCCAAAATTAATAAACTTCAGAAGAGGAGCCAAGTGGTTACTTAGTCAGGAATCTTTACATAAGCACAGGAGAGCAAGATCCCATCCCTTTCCTTTGAATGTTGTTAAATCTTACCTAGTCTAGTCCAGGTGCAAACCCCCAGACTAAGAAGATTCTTGTATTATGGACATGACCAATACAAATAATTAACTGAACTCTTGTGTGGATACAGCCCCAATTATAGTCATAAGTTGTGGGCTACCCCACAATCTAACCCAACTGACATAAATATTGTGGAAAAATTATATTCAGAAAACACAAACGACAAATTTGTCTTCTGTTTTGTTCAACTATTGTAGATAAGCACCTAGCTGGTGCTTTCACCTGTGTTGAATTAATATTGCCATTATTTTGCATTATGGAATTGTGGTTCGATGCAGCTTACAGCACGAGGACCATGGACCAACCTCTGCTCCATGGCCCGATACTGGACCATGGCCCTTTGGGAATTGGGCCACGCAAGTGGGGAGCAAGCATACACATGCACAAAACTTTCCCTTCTTCCCCCTCCACCACTGGTCTGCAGAGCCGAAAGGTTGGGGACCACTGGCTTAAAGGATAGGACTGGCAAAGCTTGAGTAGAAATGCATGTATAAGATTTGTATAGATGCCCATTTTAAAACATAATTCTGGATGGCTCACGACAGTAAATCCCTGAATTACAAAAATCATAAAACAAAACCCAGGACCTCACTCATCTTCTTGGGATACTCCAACAACCAATTCAGAGCAATCACTCTCTACCTCAACGACTGGGTAGAAAGCCGTGTATTGATGGCCTTTCAGAAGGCTAAAAGAGAAGGGGCCTGCCAGAAAAGGCACACTTCAGAGTTCCCATTAAATGGCAACAATTCAGGAAAGGGACCTGGAGGTATCTTCCTATCTCTCAGGGACAGGCCTATGGCATGTAAGACATTAAAGGTAACCAGCCAGTGGTGGGATTCAAATTTTTTTTACTATCGGTTCTGTGGGTGTGGCTTGGAGGGTGTGGCAGGGGAAGGATACTGTAAAATCTCCAGTCAGAGGTGGTATTTGCTGGTTCCCTGAACTACTCAAAATTTCCACTACTGGTTCTCCAGAACTAGTCAGAACCTGCTGAATACCACCTCTATAATCAGCACCTGGAAGAAACAGGGAGCCAGTGCAACTCATGTAACAAAGGTGTAACATGGGTAAACCTTGAAGTTTCCACTCAGTCCAGAGAAGTGCAACCCTTCCTAGAGTCAACAGCGACAAAGTAGATGCAGCTATCTTTTGTGCATCTAAAATGATAGAAAATATCACTTACTTCTCCTTTCTTTCCAATTTCACTGTATGCTTCACCCATCTTATCCCGCTGTAGGGACTAGCCATGGAAAACAATAAAACAGTATTGGTGAAAAGGAAACTAAGAAAAATTTGTTTTCTCTCGTGCCTTTTCTTACAGATTCTAATGTATTCGATTAATCTTTTCATTCTGTATATAGTATATCCTATACTAGTATATCCTTACTCTTTCTAGGCCAAATTATAGGAAAGAAATTTCCAAAGATGTCTGTGCTTATAACTGTTATTCTAGCAAAACGTTTACTCTTCATTGCCTTTTCTTTGTCAATCATTGTAAACTCAGGCACTTTTTATGCAGATTTGAGAGCAATATTATCTGGAAAGCAACCATTCCCAATCTTTTCCCAACCTGGGATTTGGTTAAACTATAAACACAGGATTTGTTGGAATAGAGGAAGTGTTGCTGTAGACACTCAATATTTTGATTTACAACATAGAAGATAGGTTCCTCTGATACCAAAAGCAAAATATCCACAAAAAACTGATCAATACTTTGATAAACATGTCCCAAAGTCCAGAGAAGGATAACTATTAACAGCATAGGGTTGTTCCTGCTATCACTGTTAGTCCTTTCAGGTAGGTCAGGTAAAAAAACAATCCCCCCCAAAAAAACAAACCCTAGAATTCTGTTTTACTGATATAAGCTCTAATAACAAGCTTAAAAACCTGACATTTCTGTTTTAAGGGGAAAAAAGCAAAATGGGGAAATCTTGACTATCTTAAGATTCATAAACACTGAAAAAATAGACTGATTGATCTTTATATACTTCTATTCTTTTCTGTAAGGTGTGAAGTAGTTGTGTTACATCCCAGCATAGAGAATTTCCCCCAAAAAACCTTATTCATAAAACTGGAAAAAGTTGCATAGGAGGACAACTTCTTTCCCAACACAGATACATATAACCTTTCAAAATGCTGCAGTGGATGATTAAGTAAACTTTAATACGTAAATTCTTGGATCTACTCACAGTGTAAACTTTGTCCTGAGGTTTCTTTCTTCTGCGCTAGAAAGAAAGAAAAATAATCCCAATCATTTACCAAGTCTGAAGACACAAGAGAAGGCATGGTGGGAGAGCTGACAGGGCCGTTATATCAAAATCCCTTGCACAACTGTCATAACCACCAGAGAAGTCCATTGTAGATTGATATTATTCATTCCTCAAAGCAAAAGGGGGTCATGGTCTTGGAGTTTCCCACTAAGTTATGCTTATATGTTTTGTGGCAACTGCATGCAACAGAAAATATGGTGAAGATACCTGGTTTTCCACAGCCATTTCAAGATCTGTATCTGTTTTTTTTAATGCCAGAGAATCATATTCATCTCTGCGTCCAGTAGATAGTTTCTGCAAGAGAAGAATATTTATAACAACTGATTATTATGTAATTTTCTCATTTAATATTTAGAACACCCTTCTTCACCCCTTCAATCCCTCACACATTAAGTGTCCTCTGTGCCTTTTTATCTACCTTGTCCCATTCCTCACATAAAATTGGAAATTTGTACAGGCAGTCTTCAAGTTATGACCACAATTGAGCCCAAAGTCTATGTTGCTAAGTGAAACATTTGTTAAGTGAATTTTGCCCCATTTTACAACTTTTCTTGCCACGGTTGTTAAGCGAATCATTGCATTTGTTAAGTTAGTAACACAGTTGTTAAGTTTGATCTGGCTTCCCCATTGACTTTGCTTGCCAGAAGTTCCCAAAAGGTGATCACATGGCCCTGGGACACTGCAATCATAAATATGAACCAGCTGCCAAGCATCTGAATTTTAATCATGTGGCTGGGGATAGTGCATCGGTCATAAGAGTGGAAAAAAAGTCGTATATAACTGTATATAACTTCTCATGAACTGATTTTATTCCTAACCCTGCTCACCCAGTAAGCTTTTCTAATCTCATCTTAATTAGTCAAGGTTCATTATTCAGCCATAAAGTTGTCCCAGTGTCCTTTGAGGACAAGTGGGGGGAAAAAAGGTAAGCATACAAAGTACTCTTTATTGTTGCCTTAAACCTCTTATAATATATTCTGTGAACTTTAAGGAACCGTGTGATACTAAAAAAGAAACCCAAGCCACCACATACAGAGTTTTCATAGCAGCATCCCTGTGTGGGTGCCAGAGTTGATTTTTTCCCCCCTCTAGCAGGACTTAGACAGTTCTTCTAATGGATAATTAAATATTGGTGGTGGGTTTTCAGGAATATAGTGAAAATATTGAAATAATTGCAAGTACCTCTTAGTTGGGAGTGTTCCTTGCCAAATGTTTTGGTTTGTAAATGTTAGAATTCCTTACCATTAGCTATTCTATGAATCCAATTAATGTGAGTGAAATCTAAAATATTGGCAGAGTTTTCTTTATCTATCTATCCATCTAGCCTAAGAGAGAGAGAGAATATGTGTCTTTCAGAAAACCTACTGAATAAGCAAATAAACCACTACATATATCAAGTAAACCACTACAATTATCTTAATTAAAAATGAGCTATATAACTATGGCCTGGAAGTTCTCCTATAGTTGCACACAAGAACCTCCCCAGCCCTTTTAGTTTGACATTTGGTAAATTTGGAAGAAGATAGTAGGGAATCCCTATACTATAATAAAGGAATCATTTTGACTTGACCCTTGACTAAATCACAATATTTTCACTATATTCCTGAAAACCCACCCCCAATATTTAATTATCCATTAGAAGAACTAAGTTCTACAGGTAGACTGGTATCTCAATTTTTTCACTTATATGTCGTCTCGTCACTTTAACTCATTTGCAGGTGTCAGATTATATAAGAGACATAAGAAATTAACTACTTACATTATATATGTCATTTGCATTTTGAGAAGGTTTGGATTCAGTAGAGCGATTGGCTAGCTGGAAAAAAAAATATGGACAAACATGTAATATATAGAGCTTTTACTCACAAAACTTCCCATTTCTATTCCAAAGGCCACTAGTGATTTATCAAATAGTGATAGTGTATTATTGAGCCTTCAGCACTTTCCAACTTATTAGCTCTTTCCAACTGGACACCCTCCAAATCTACTGGAATTGCATCTCCCAGAATTCCCTGTGGGCATGACACCAAGTTACGGTAGGCCGCTTTATTTCATTTATTTCATTTTTTAAGATTTCTTCACTCTGGTTCTCTCTATAAAACACAAGCTCATAGTTAAAAGTGGTAATATCAAACAAAACAAAAGCAAAACAGTTGTTCAAACTCTTAAATGTAAGATTCGTTATTAGCAATTTCCCATCTTTTCAAACTGTTTACTAACGATGTCTGCCTAATAGTCTCCCCAACTAAATGCGTCTCCTCACTGAAGTGGAACTTCCAGCTTTCATAACATTACAAGGCACTGTGACCAATGCATAACGCCATGCAATACAGCTGAAAAGCACAAGGTTGGGAAAAGTGATGTCAATCTGAAAAATCTGAGAGCAGCAACGAATAATGAAGGAAACATTTTGACTGGGTATTGAACTCTGGATTAAGATACAGAAGGATAATCTTTCCATACTAGTTATATGATGACATTGCAGTGTTGCATAACTGTTGCAGTGAAAGATGATTTCGTGGAGGAATTGCTTTTAATTTCCACTTCTAAAGGTTTACATAAATATTCAAACATACAATCAAAAGGATTAAGGTCACAGGGACATTTTTTTTCCTTCAGGTTCCTCTGGTCAGACTGTGTATGTAAAAATAATAATAATTAAAAAATCTCTGAAAAAATCTTACCTTTACTTTCATGAAAAGGGCTGTGATGATGATAGCATATATTAAAAGGATCCCATCCAGAATATAGCACAGCTTTGGATCTGTTAATCCCAGTACATCAGCATCTGTTTTTTAAAAAAAAAAAAAAAAAACCAGTAAGTCAGTTGTACAGAGAAAGGATTTAAAACAAACCAGGAGCAGAGCTTTCCATAAACGAATGCTCTCAAGATTACAATTCCTACTTTCTCAATCAGCATGCCTATTGCTTGATGATTTTTAAGCAATTTTTGTCAATTGATGGGGGAATCAGATAGTTACATATTGCCATGCATGTTTTACAGACTTGGCTACTTTTTTATTAATAAAAATGTAATTATTTGTTGAGGTGATATAAAACCCCTCATTATTTTACATAACAATGGTTTGATGATTCTATAATGTACAGGCTCCCCAGAAAAATATCACACTAAAATCCCAGTAACATGAATGGGCCATAGATCATTACAACTAATTTGTGCTACTGATTTCAATGGGTCATAACCAACACCACCTTTTTTCAACATTTGGCCCATGTTCTTTATTCCAAACACAATTGAGGCCACCATTTAATGACTCAATAATAGTATTTACAGCAGAAGTAGGCAATTTTATTTTAGCCAAGGGCTATACTTGTCTTTAAGGCTGAACTCTTAAAGATCAGTACATTAAAAAAGAAAAACTCAAGTTGATTCCATATAAATATACTTTAATTAAATATAATTGTCTATGTAATTATTTCCCCTTTAAAAATTACAGTTCTCAGGCAGGTTTAAAAGGAACTGTGAAGCTCACTCAGGATTTTGTTTTGCTCCCTGATCTAGAAGTATTTCCATATTTATTATTTATTAGATCTATATAAACTGTTTTGTTACTGACATATCTCTAAAACAAGCATCCAATAAGATATTATGCTGCAGTATTCCTCTTCATCCTGTGGTTTGATTGTAATGTTTGACTTGGACTGTAAAGACCCAGGTTTATGCCTCTACTTGTTCACAAAGGTCACTGGTTAACTTTTGGATCAAGATTCTCAGCCAAACCTACTTCACAAGACTGTAATTATAGGGATAAAAATAGAGGAGATATCCATATATGCCATCTTGAGTTTTCTGGAAAAAAAAGATGGGTTAAATATGCCAAATAAATATGCATATACTTAAAACAGCTGTATTATATTTGTTAGAACATATGAAATTATTCTTCCAAAGCCCTGGACAGATTTTTGTTCTAAATCCATGTAATTATTTTTTTAGAAAGGTTTACATCAACTACATTGAAGAATAAGCATGCCAAAGACCAAGTTTTACTTTGATTGGTACCACAGCAACAGTTATTCAACAAAAGAAAATAGCTATATTGGATATTCTTAACATAGTCAGTAGTTATCTTCTCAGATCATGCAAGCATGATTAAATACATACTCAAGTTGATTCTGTTTGCATAAAATATTAAGCTATAGCCATGATTTGCAAACTACAGTGGTGGAATATCATTTGTGCATGCTGAGTGACAAACTCCATGCTGTTCATAGTGTTATAAGAATCCATCTTTCATTCATTTGTTTTAGAAAAATAGGACTCCATTTTCCAATGTGCAACCATCCACTTGATATTCTTTAAAAAGTGTAGTCTTATTTTTAATTATTTACCTTGGCATTACCCAATTAAATAAGCAATAAAAGCACTAAATTAAACTTTCAGGTATATTAATCAGCTAACATTTTTTCACTTGACTTTTTTTCACTAATACTATTGGTCACTGGGAAAATGCTTTAAAATATATTGTCCACTGGAATCAGTGTAGATCATGGTATCCTTTTTACAATGTTTTTCAAGCTGAGGGCCACAATTGGTCTATCAATAATATGAAATGTTCTTACTCCTAAAATAAGATAGGTGGGGCTTAAGCACAAGGTAAATTTTATCAAGTTGAATGGAAATTTAAAATAAAAACCATGTAATTGATGCCATCATTTTCATATATGTTTAATTAGTTTTTTCCATTTTATCATGTTAAAATATAATTAAATAGAAAGTTTCAGAGGAGTTTTACAGTAGAGGCTGTATCCAAAGTTTTGGGATGAGAGCGGTGTCTTATGCAGCCTCACAAATACCCTTGATGTAGAGAATGCTAAACTAGATGATAAAAAGCTTTTATCAGGATAAAGCCATTTCCTCTGTTCAATTTCTACTGAGCCAGCCACCTGCCTTGTGGTTTTCTGAATTGACAGATTCATTTAGGCAGGATTCTCAAAACTGCCTCATAGAACCACCTATTATCATACTGCTATGTTGATGTAATATAAAGTCTCTCCTCAATGCTATTATTTTTGGTACAATGATTGCTCATTGTATAGAATGCTATAAAATCAATGCTGCATTACTTTGCTTAAAACGATACCACAAAACTCACTTTCAGAACAAACATCTAAATGGAAATATAACTTCAAATCTTTATTTAATCAACTAATAGACATTTTCCATTCTCTTAGATAAATGCAAATCTGGCATCAAAGTACTCATTAATCCAAAAGAGGAGAGCCCATTCCTTTTTTGTTTTAACGAGGGTCATTAAATTGTAAACAGCACCTTGAAATAAATGTTATATGCTAGAGTTAAAATGGAGCTCAGTTTGACATCAGCACAGAGTTCCCTTAATTGATTGTGGTATGCACTGTGGTTACTCAGAAATGTTTTCAAACCTCTCTTTTCAAGACTGACAGCTGGGGCTCCTTCCTGCAAGGTTTCCTTTGCTAAGTTTCTGTATCAAGTTTGTGTGTTAGGCTAATGTAGTCGTTGGGCTGAGAAAGGGGGCAAGTTTTGGAATGGTAACAATATTAATACAGACTGAATTTCAGGAAAAAGGAAAACAGATGGTGAAGAAAGGTAGGTTCACTCTCCTAGTAGAGAAATATTCTTACAATATACTGAAATCTTCATAGCAAAGATTGAGCATCCAGCAAGCATGCAAAGCTGGAAGAAGGAATATTCCCATGCCTGTCACCTAGGCTTGCAAAGGTGTCCAGTAGCAACCAACTAAATATTTCTTGACGACCTGGAGCAGCCTTTCCTAATTAGATTCTCTCCAAATGCATGTCACTTCCAGACCTAACATGGCCACATATTATTGAGAAACTCCACACATGCTCAAGTTAGCGAAGACTACTACTCCCCTTTTCCACAAAGAACCAGAGTACAACAAAGTACTAACTCAAACCATATGCCAACTGGAATTCAGTTCCCAGAATTCTTCAACAGCGTGCTATTGCTGAGAACTGAAATCCACTTTTGGAGGGCACCTTGGTTTGGGAAGGGTGAACCAAATTAATGCTAAAAACATAATGAACAAATGATTTGGCTCATATCTCAAACTCTTGGAACTGGTATTTGGTTTACCCTTATTTAGAAGGGAGAAACATAAAAGAATTTCTTTCACACTTGAGGAGTGAGAATAGTTCAAAGAAGATCCATAGATAACTTCAGCAAACCTTCTACCCTTTTCTGTCTCAGGCTAAATTGCTAGAATCTTCTAGAAGTTGTAAATTGACTAAAAATGCAGATTATTGACTACTCATGGGGAAAAAATAAGATGGTTGCTGTGCTTAACACTGATTTATACAGAAATGCTGGCTTTGTGTACTTCTCACATTACAAACTGTAAATATTATCAATTTAATGAAAGACTTTGTGTGGAATTGCTATCTGCATTTGAGCACCAGCTTTTTGCAAGACAACAAATGCAGAGTTTGAAACCTCATTTAACTTTCTTCTGTGAAAAGCTGTCCTGGGCCTATTTCCCTATCCAGTATTTTTCAAATACAGGCAATCCCCAGGTTACAAGTGTTCCCTTAGTGAACGTTCAAAGTTACACGATAATCCCCCTCTAGTGTTTATGAACAAGTCCCGAGATCTTGAAGCACCGCAGCAATAGTTCGCCCTTATGAACAACCTCAGAGACTCTGCAACATTCATCCTGCCTGTTGCCAGCTCAAATGGAGCCTCTGAGGGGTGAATCCACCTCTCTGATGCTCCATTCGGGCATCCAGAGTTCTCACCTGAAACATTCCCAGCCGAAATGGAGCTTCTGAGGGGGGTATCTGCTCCTCAGAAGCTCCATTTCAGTCAACAATGTGCCGGGCAAGGCCTGCGGAGGCCCAGTTGGAGAGATTGGAGAGGAGACTGTTTGCTAGATTTTCACATGGTATGGTAGGTTGGGGGGGGAGCAATTGTGGGGAGCATGCTGTATTTCAGTGGGTTGGAGAGGCTTTGGGTTGTGTTAGGCAGGTGGCCTGTTCCATCACCAGGCCACCCATGGCCTTCCCCACCCTGAAATATTCGTGTGCACTTAATGAGCTTTGCATTCAATTAGTGAGAGCAAAAGGAGGGAGTGATCCCATTCAAAGTACAAGATTTCACTCCCCCGAATTCTCAGATTAAGAATGAAATGGGCAGGCTTGAGTGACTTGAGGACTACCTGTATATTGACTAATAATCCCAATGCAGCCCCTGACTGGTGGAAGCTGTAATCCATTCTATGTGAAATACAAGTCACTCACTAGGAAAAGGCTGATCAGCTAAGGAAAGAGAATGTTGAATCTATCCATAAGACACAGCAGCCATCCTTAGCTTCGTAATGTCTTAAAGTATTTTGCAACATTTTCAAAAACATTGTGAAATAGACATTTAATCTCTTCCTAATAAAGAACAACGGTGTTGGAGGGGACTTGGAGGTCTTCTAGTCCACCCCCGCCCTGCTCAAAGCAGAAACATTTATATATATTTTAGACAAATGGTTGTCCATTTCTTCTTAAAAACCTCCAGTGTTAGAGCACCACAACTTAAGGAGGAAAGTTGTTCTGATTAATTGTTCTAACTGTCAGAAAAGAATATGGTACCTGGTAAAATTTCACAATGAGGAGACAGGCGTGAGCACTTAGTTGTCATTAGAGCTTCACAAAGTACTATTACAGAGACCAGAAGCCGCATTATAACTGCAATTATGGCAAGTTTGTCATGTTTTTACATGTTTATTTTAAATCTTACTGAATTGTCACGCATTCAGAAGGTTGCAGCTTAATCTGCAAAAC